ACTATATATATATATATATATATATATATATATATATATATATATATATATATATATATATATATATATATATATATATATATATATATATATATATATATATATATATATATATATATATATATATATATATATATATATATATATATATATATATATATATATATATATATATATATATATATATATATATATATATATATATATATATATAAGCACGGTTGATTTAAATACCAGTGGTGAAAGGTCTATCACCTATAACCACAATTTATTTAAATACCTGAGGTGAAAAGTCTGTCAGTATTTTTTAATAAATAAATAAATAACTAAAAATGTTGGTGCTGGGATTTGAACCATGGTTATAGGTAATTAAATAAAATATAAAAAAATACATGCGCCTAAATATCACATATTATATTACAGCGGTTAATTGAATATTCATAATAATACAGGTATTATTTTAAGTGTTTTTCATAGTAGTGATGATATGATGTATTGATGTTTAAAATGAGCATATTTGATCATTTGATATGCAAGCAGTCATAATAATTACAATATAAAATTCCAACACTCTCGTTATCATTGATATTTCAACTATTTTAATACTTTATCTTTTTATGAGCATAAAACTTTTTCAAACAAATAAACGTTTTTTATACTTAAAAGTATAATACAAATGCATTATATTTTTCATTTTTCGCGAAGTCAATAATTTTACTCATGCTTATTGGCACAACTGTTACAATATTTTTTATATTTAAATACCGTAAAAGGAATCTAACACCTTCCTAAACCACAATTCCACAAACCAACTATAACTTCTAAACACCACAACAATAAATCTCATTTTTTAATCCGATAATAAATTATTAAATTTTCAATTCTTTTTAATATCCATTAATGTATTCTAGATATTTTTTCATACATTGTATCTCAGTCGACAACTATTTTAATATCTATTAATGGCCGAACCTCAGATGCCACAACCAACTATTCTTGTAGTCGACAACTATTTTCATACATTGTACCTCAGTCGAACTGATCATGGTTTTAAATATTCTATTCTTCGACATAGAGAGATTTTAAGACCAAGTTATTATGGATGTCGAAAAGTTCTAAAGCTCCATCTTTCATAACCACTGAGAATCCCTTTTTGACCAGTTGTCCAACACTTAGCAGATTGCGCTTCATTCTAGGGACATAGAGTACATCTTTGGTCAAGGCTTTTACTCCATTACTCCTTTGAATAACTATGTTGCATGTACCTTCTGCTTGCAACAAGCTATTATCAGCAAGTTTAACCTTTCTCTTCTTTGACTTGTTAAAATCTAGTTACCATACTTTTCGACCAGTCATGTGATTCGAGTAGCCTGAGTCGAGGAACCAGATCTTGGATTCGACATGGTCATCTGCAACTGCAGCCATAACCACCATATCATCATAATCATCTAAATCTTGATGTGCAAGGTTTGTTCCTCCGTCATTGCACACCTTTTTTCTACTTTGTCTTTCTGATAAGAATTCCCTTCTCCTCTTTTCGAGGATTCAAAAGTTCTATCATCGATCTTATTCTTGTGAGGATTCGACCAAGACTTCTTGCCTTGAGTCTTGTCAATTTTGCCTTTGAACTTGTTAGAAGCACCATTCTTCTTCTACGGTTGAGCCTGTATTGAGTCTTGAACTCCTTTCCTTTTGACAATCCTAATCTCATACGCTTTCAACGAACCAACAAAATCTTCCAATTTTAGGGTTTCAAGATTGTTGGATTCTTGAATAGCCACGATAACATGATCAAAGTGAGAGACCAACATACACATTACCTTCTCAACTATCATCTTACCAATTAGGGTTTCACCACAACTCTTCATGAGATGGATGAGTTTCTGCACCTTCGACACATAGCCTGCAATATTTTCATCTTCTCCCATTGACAACAATTCATATTGTCTTTGCAAAGTTTGCAACTTGACAACCTTAACTTTCTCGCCTCCTTCATAGTACTTGACAAGAATGTCTCACGCCTCCTTCACCGTATCAACCACCGATTGGATGTAGAACGCCACCTTGCAATCCTTCTTCTTGGCCTCCTTGTAAGTGGTTCTCTGTGCGTCGATTGCATCTTCACCAAACGTAGGAACGCCATTCGTAACCACTTATAGGGTTTCATGAAAATTAAATAGAGATTGCATCTATTTTCTCCATCAAAACCAATTCTCGTCGTCAAGAATTGGAAGGGAGTTTGGTAAATTTTCGTCATCATTCATCTTTGCAACTATTGATCAACAATAATCCACTATCTCGAAAACACGATCTCTGACAATTGTGAGTTCTCAAATTTTCAATTCTTTTTAATATCCATTAATGAATATATATATATATATATATATATATATATATATATATATATATATATATATATATATATATATATATATATATATATATATATATATATATATATATATATATATATATATATATATATATATATATATATATATATATATATATATATATATATATATATATATATATATATATATATATAACTCAATAAAAGTAATATTACATTACAACTTTTATTTTATTTGTTTATTGGTGGACATTGCTTGTTTTAAATACATTCCCTCTGACGATTCTAAATTCTAAATTGTAACGTTAACATGACTTTCAATCTACTCTCATCTCTAATATTATGTTTATAGATTTTAATAAAATGGTGCAAACCAAAAAAAGATAATGGTTGTGTACATTGTTTCTAGTAATAAATCAAGCGTGGATCATTTTTATTTGTCATTTTTGTAAATTAGACCTCCTTTAAATTGTTCATTAAACTATTTGTTTTTATACAAAAATTGTTTTATTAACTTTTTATATATAAATATTATATAATTTTTTTCAATATTGTTATCAATTAATTAATTTGACAACCCTTCTTTTAAGAAAAAAAAATATTAACAATTCTTTGTAATACTCATGGAGTAGATAAAAGACTGACTATAGGTTGGGACATACTCTTATACAATATTTGATTAAATAAAAAAATTTAAAAAAGGTTTTAAAATTTAATTATTTTTGGCATAATTAAACAAATTAATAATTATCAAACAAAAAAAACTATATTTCTTATGTTTTAAGATCTTTTCATTTGCTTGATTGATGATAGAACGATATATGACTCTTTTAAATAGCTGAAAGATTAAGACATTTGCAAAGGTAGTTTTCAAACTAGGATATATTGGCTATTCTTTGCCATTTAAAATAAATTAATTGAATATTCTTTTTAGAAAAAGGGTTATTGAAAAGAACACTGTATTTATTTATTTATTTTTGGTTACAAAAAACACTTTATTTATGTTAAAGAATAAAACGACACTTTATTTATTTATTTATTTTTGGTCACAAAAAAACACTTTATTTATGTTAAAGAATAAAACAACACTTTATTTATTAATTTTTAATATATAAATATATTTTTTCTATTTTGTTAACAATTAATTTGACAACCCTTCTTTTAAGAAAAAAGAATATTAACAATTATTTAAAATACCCATGGAGTAGATAAAAGATTGACTATAGGTTGGGAAATAATCTTATACAATATTTAATTAAATAAAAAAGCTTTAAAACGGTTTTATTAATTTTGGCATAATTATCAAATTAATAATTATAAAACTAAAATACTATATTTACTTTGTTGAGATCTTTTCATTTGCTTGATTGATGATAGATCGATGACTCTTTCAAATAAATAAAAGATTGTATTCATTTGAATTTGTAATTTTGATATCATTGCCACAACTTTTTATTTATTATTTATAAAGATTTTTTTTGTGTTACTAATAATGTCAATAAATTGTTTATATTATTTATTATTTAAATAAATAATATTTTGAGTTTTTATGTCTTTTTATTTTGAATCTAACTTTAATATTAGAACCCAACCTCTATATTATATAAGACGGCCCTAAATATATCTGTCAAAACATCTTTAAATAATATTACCATAAAATGTTTGCTTTATTATATTTTTTCCCCAAAAGTAGTTTTCAAACTAGCATATATATTGGCTATTATTTGCCATTCAAAATAAATAAATTGGATGTTATTGAATAAAACCCTTTATTGATGTTAAAGAATAAAACAACAGTTTTGTATATATTTTATTAAAACAATAAATTGAAAGAGAATCATTTCAATGCATTTGAAGAAAAGCAGAATTTATAATCATTTGCGTTAGCTTGTGAATTTTATACACTCTCACAACAGTTTTTTCGTTGCATTTGTTACTTTTCATAATATATATTTATACTTCATTTCAACCATCATTTAAGAATATTTTGACCAAACTAAAAAATTACAATAAAATAAATTAAACTAATTCAAACCAAAATAAAAATAATAGAATATAATAACTAAAATAAAGTTCAAATAATTAAGAATACCTAAATGAAATAAGATAGAACATCAAAATATAAATAATACAATAGATTTCATTAAACAACAAAAATCGAATTTGAGTTGAATTACGACAAACATGTCTTAATTAACAACAACAAACAATATTGACTTGAACGATACTCAATACTATGTTTGAAAGAGACGACATGATGATGATGGGGTGTGGTTGAAAAAAAAAAACTATAACGAAGTGACAAAATTTAGAAGTTTGTATGGGTGTAAAAAAACACACGGACTTCTGTTTTGTGATTGGAGAATATATGTTATGTTTTGATATTAGCATATTAAAATTTATAATAAAAAAATTTAAAAATGCTCAATTTAATACATTTTTTTAACCAGGCGGTATTATAAAATCGACTCCGATTTTTTGGTTAGAATAGTTTTTTATTTTCCAATATTACAATGACTAAAATAAATTAACAAGAACAGTAGTAATAATAAAAAATAAAATAAACAATTATGAAAATTAACTATTATCATAGTAAACCGTTTCATTTCATTAACTCAAATAACTATATTTTTTTAACTATTAATTCCTAAGAACATGAACTTTGAGAAGAAATTGGTGTAAACATAAACTTAGGATCCCAAGCATAGTAGAAAGTGGCAGATTTAGAAGGATAAAGAAGTCCTCCTTGAATGAGAAGACAATCATCACTAAAAATTGCTGGATCAACTGACAAATATGTTTGAAATACAGTGCAATTGAATTGTATTTGTGATTGACTACATTCACAATTGTTGGTTACATTAACCTTCCACACTTCCTTTCCATGTGCATACCCTGATGTTTTGTATTGTCTAACTCCAATTTCACTCAAAGCACAGTCTCCATAAGCTGCAATATTAACCACAAATTAAACATTGATCATAGGGCAGAAAATATAACACATTTTTAGGGTTTTATAAAATATTTTTTACTATTAAAGTATTAAAAAATGTAATGCATGCTACAAGTTATGAAATATATGTTAATACCTTTGAAAACTAGGGCAAGGAAGAGAGTGAGGGAGAGAAGGTTGAAAATTGAAGCCATTTGAGATTTGAGAGTAATTGATTAAGAAGAGAGGGTTCATAGGTGGTACACTATTTATAGAATGGTAACAATAGGTGGTATAAAGGCATGAATCACTAACTGATAAAAATATATTGAATTTAATTATAAAAAAGGCCTGATAATAACAAAATTTAAAATAAATAATAATTTTATTTATTTATCTGTATTAAATATTGGTGCTAAATGAAAACTTTCTTAAATAATTGGTATACTTTTAAAAAGATTGTCACGGGAAGTTTATTTAACCTATCTTTAATTTTAATTTTAATATACTTTAATTAAGGAAGGTATGTAGAATATGTAACTTAGAAGAAGAAAGACATGTTGTAAAGAAAATAAAAGAATGAAGAATTAAAAAAATGGAATGAAGGGATCTAATAATAAAAACAATTTTTAAAATATTTTAATTTCTTAAAACTCATTGTTCTATAAATTAAAAGCCGGATAAATAAACAAATTTTAAAAATAAAATCTAATAATTTAATTTATTTATTTCTCTAAAATAAATAAATAATTTTATTTATTTATTTCTCTCAAATAAAATATTTTATTTTAAAAATGTTATTTTTGTTACTTTGAAAATTTATTTACCGTGTCATTTATAGCATAAAATCATTATTACAATATTGATAAATTTTATTCTCTTTATGAAATTATTTATATAGTTCTTTTAATATCATTCACTATTTATAATTTAATTACATTCATTTATTTTTATTTAACAAATAATTACGAATTTTATTTATAAAATAATAATTATTGTTGCATTAAAATTAAAAATTAATAACGTTAAAAATAAAATAAATTTGATTAAAAACACACAATGAGTGTTTTGATATAACACTAAATGATTCAAATTATTTTTGCATCATTTTTAAAGTTTGAATTGAAGAAAAAAATATTTTAATGCATATTAAATATTATTTAGATCATGAAAATACATATAAACTAAGTTAAATATATCTCACAAGTTTTTTTTATAATATTAAAAAATTATATATAAAAATATTCACCAATTTCAATAAGATGTGAAAAATTAAATATATACATATTAATTTACTAGTTATATTTTTAAGATATCAATAAATATAATAAATTTATTGAACGTGTTTTTTAAAAATATATATATAAATTAGGTAATGTTTATAATACAGGAGACTACATATTTTAAAATTGTAATATATATTCTAAAATGATTGTTGGTTGTAAAAATACTAATATTAATATTAAAAAATTAATATAACATTAAATAATTTTTATGTTTAATACTCATCACATAACTTTTATTGAATAAATATTATTAAACATTATATGTTTGTGAAAAATTTTGATAGATTCAATAATTCTTTCTAGACATGAGTTAAATTTCCATATTGAAATTTTCAAAGTAAATTTCAAAAATTAGTGGTACCTTAAATTTTTGTTAACAATTGAAGATTTTTATATTAATTTCTACATAGATTCAGGTTGATTATATGCATCTAATTTATTTCCATTTTTATTCTTTTTATACATAAATGATAGTTAATTTGTATTTAAGGTGGTATTTAATTTTTAATAAAATTATTAATATAAAATCAAAAATGATTTAGTATCATTTATCAATTAGTTAAAATAAAATTAATTTAATGTATATTACTAATAAATATGTACACAAGAAATAATTATAACATTGATTCGGATACGATTAAAATGTGTTATTAATAAACTTATTTATAATAATGTTATTGTTTAATATTAATAAATTTTATTTTTTAACTAGTATGGAAGTTATATGAAATTATTGATTCAAATATTAAAAATAAAAATTTGTCAATTTTATTTTAAAATAGGTGAAAAAATGCGCGTAACAAACCAACACTGGTGTGTAGACACTGATGTAACTATAGAAAAAAAGCGTCTTTTATTGAAATTAATACAGCTAAAATAATTATTGAATAAATGTTTTAATTTATGTAAGTACGGTGAAAAAATAATTTTGTGATTTAAATAAAAGAAAAATATGTGTCATTTCTTGAAATTTATGCAATTTATATAATAATTGAATAAATTTGTCTTATTTGTGTAATTACGAGAAAAAATATATTACGGATACAAATACGAGAGAAATAAATATAAACTACTTATTGAAATTTCTATAATTAAAATAATAATTTAATAAATATTTGTCAATGATCTAAATATGGGAATAAATATAAATGATCCAAATACAAGAAAAACATTCATCACTTATTGAAATTTATACAATTAAATTAAAGTAATAATTGAATAAATATATGACAATGATTTAAATAATGAAAAAGAAATTTGCTTGATCCAAATATAAGGAATATATGTGTTATTTATTAAAATTTATACAATTAAAATAATTAATGATAAATCTTTCTCATTGATTTCAATATGGGAAGACAAAATATTTTACTAATATAAATACAAGAAAAATATATGTTAATTATAAGTTGTTGATTAATACAAATATTTTTCTAACAATTTCTATCACGTAGTCACTTAAATATTAGGTACTTGATATCATTTTAGTCTGGTTTTGTAAAATATTTTATTTTTCTCAATTTTATTTATTTATTTGTTAAATTTAGTGGATAAAAGGTAAAGCAGTACAATAGTCTACCATTTAAATAATTATAATATTTTTCAATAGTTTGCCAGCTAAATATATTTAGGTTGGTTAAGGTGTGGTTTAGATTGTGGTTGGTGTAGCAATGTATATTAATACTTGTGCTTTATTTTCATAAATAAACTCGGCTTCTTAAAAAAAACAATAAAAATATAATATTATAACAATCCAATGATATTATTAGATATTAAATTTTATTTCAGATACAATTAGAAAATAAAATTATATTATATACTAACATGATATTTCTAACAATAATCCCTTCTATTATTAACCTCAAATCTTAGTTATATATATATATATATATATATATATATATATATATATATATATATATATATATATATATATATATATATATATATATATATATTAATGTAAAATTAGGTTTTATTTATAAAATTAATAAATATTATCGTAAAATCACATAAGTTTAAATGTTTGTGAATAAAGTGTAAAATATAATTGATCTTAAAATTTATTCTAAATAAACTTAATTTCATTTTATTTTTAAAGTGGCACAAAACACAATTCGTTAGATTTAAATAAGAAAACATTCATACATATTATATTTAATATACATTTGACTACAATTATGTCGTACAGAATAATATGAAATAGGAAAATAAAACTATTCATCTAAATATGTAGTGAGTCAATAAAATTTTAATAAAATTTATTTTCTCATATCGAGTAAATTATATGAAACGTAAAAATGAAATTACACTGATTCAATTATGAATTATAATGTGAATTAATAAAATTTTAATAAATTTTGTTATTTTATATTGTGGAAATTATATGAAATGTGAAAAATAAAACGACTGATCGAATTATCAATTAGATAGTGAGTCAATAAAATTTTAATAAATTTTACTTGCTTACATTGTGGAAAAATAAAACATAAAAAATGAAACTATTGATTAAAGTATTTAGTGAGTCAATAAAATTTTAATAAATTTTGTTGTCTCATATAGAATAAATTATATAAAATAAAATAAAATGAAACAACAAATCTAATTTTGTTTTCTCATATCGTAGAAATTATATGAAATGAAAAAAAAATAAAACTATTGATAAAAATATTGAATAATGGAAATTTATCAACTATTTTTTTTAAATATGTGAAAAAGATTAAACGAGTTTATTAAAAAATATTGAGTAGATATTTTAAAATTGTATCATCTCTTATAAATTAATTATCTTATTTATAAAAAATTAAAATGATTGAGTCATCTAATACAAATTTCAATCTACAAATAAAATGCGTGTCAAAAATTATATCTTGTCTAAGAACATATCTTGTATATCCGCACGAGTTTGTTACTAGTTGATTAAGAAGAAACAAATTTTAAAATAAAAAATAATTTTATTTATTTATTTATATTAAATATTGGTGTTTTTGCTTTATCATTCTTGAGCTAAATGAAAACTTCATATGTCTTAAAATCATTGGCACACTTTCAAAAAGATTGTCACGAGTAGTTTATTTAATTTATCTTTAATTTAAATTTTAAAATTATATAATTTAATTATAATTATGCATAATTTCAAGTTATTAATCTTCACTTTAAATTTATAATAGTTAAAATAGATCATAGTTAATACAAATAATATTTTATTTAAATATTTAAGGAACTAAAGCATAGAAATAAATAATTGAATGCTATAAAAGTTTAAGGGTCGTTTAGTTAGGTTTTTTAGAGGCAAAATAGATATATACAAATATAAAAGATAGTCTATGGAGAAATCTACAAATAGAATCAATAGAGTCGAATAATACAAGAAGTATCAAGTAAAAGCTAAAGAAAAAACAGTATGTATAAGGGAAAAATTAACAACAGAAAACAAGAAAAAAATAAATATCTAAAAAAGAAGCAAAACCTTTATAAAGGATGCAGACTACGAAGAAACAACCAGTAGACCACCAACTAAAGCTTTGACTGTCAGACCTACCATCAATATACTAGAAAATCCTTAGCAATATCCAAAATCATTGATTCTTTTAGAGAAGATCAGAACTCTTGAGCTGCTATTGGATAAGATACAAGATATGATTCTGAAGCCAGTCAAAAAAGGAGGGTGAGTTCGATGAAAACCCGCTAAGAAACCAAGTCCAAGACACAAAAATGCTCTTATCTACCACCTATTTCACATTTAATGACGATCCAAAAAATAACGTATCATTACGCACCAACCAGGTAGTCCACATCACGACATGCAAAATCATGGCATAACTATCCCTAAGTTTAAACCTCCACGTAAAGAAAGAAAAAAAACTCAAAGAAGTCGTAGATATTGAAATGGCCATACCTAGAAAAAAGATATTGAAACAAATACCAAA